ACAGGAGTGTGGAGGAGGACACAGACATTCACACCATAGCATCTAACACTTCTCAGGCTCAGTCAGGTGCTAGTGAGACAGTGGAGAATATGGAGCAGTTCCAGGACTCAAGGAGTTGACTGAGGAAATCTGACTCTGTGCAAATAGGAGTGATGGGGTGGGTGACAGGAAGCTGAGGACAGGACATGTAGGGTGGGGCCAGGAAAGGCTCCTTCAGGAGCAGTGCTGTTGAGGCTGAAGTAAGGGGCAGGAGTGGGGCAGTGAGAGATAAGATTTGTATGTAGAGTAAACAGCCCAAGCTGGAGTGATCAGGAACCATGGAGGGGAGGGCACGGGCCAGGGAGCAGACACTGCTGGAGAGAAGACCCAAGAGTGATGATCAAGGGCTTCACCCACCCAATCACTGTCATTTCTGCTCTAAAATTGTTGGTGGTGTGTCCGTTTGAACATTTCAGTGGGCATACTCTGTCACTAGTCTTGTCTTTAGGGATGTTAATTTTCCATTATTTTTAAGCTTCCAAGTTAAGTGACTGACTACCCATTGTAGGGAGACATGCACATGGATGTTTTAATGCTTCACGTGTGCATTGAGCTCTAATAATTTATTCTAATTATTTGTCCATTGATTATTCTGGCTTTTTAATGTATTTGTTCATCTTCCCTGAAAGTATTTAGTTTTGTTTCTTTCTTGCCTTGTCTTTTTGAGACAGGGCCTTGCTGTGCTGTTCAGGCTGATCTTGAACTTACTGTGCAGCCCAGACTGGTCTTGGAACTCATGGTGATTGTTTTGCTTCAGACTCTTGAGTGCTAGGGTCACAGATGTGTACCATCACCTCCTCCTTTTGTTTCTTCCTTTCCAATTCTCACATCTTTTTTTCACTTTTTGGTCTTTTTCATTTTTGTCAGTACCAGGGATCGATCGAACTCACGACTGCCTGCTTGCAAGGCAGGCGCTTATGCCACTGAGCTAAATCCCCAGCCCTCTCACATCTTTTTTTTCCTAACTGTGAACTCATGATCTCAGGCATGTTGCTGAAAGGTAGCAGAGACAGCGGGCATTTTTATATTGTTTATTATACTATTTGTAATATTTAAATTTAAATCTGTTTATTACATGTTCATTGATAGATACCCTTATAAAAATTCTCATCTTTCCTTAATTCACAAAGGGTTTTTATTATTGATAAATACTAAATTTTAAAATATTTATTTAGATAACTACTTTTTCTTCTTTCATCTGTTAATGTGAAGAATTACATTAGCAGATTTTCTAACGTGAAATAAAGTTTGCTTTCCAAGGATAAATCTAACTTGGCATAATGTGGAATGCTTTTTATAGAATTCTATTTGTTATTATGTTGTTTACAGTTTTACATCTATGTTGGTGGGGGGTAAGGTTAGCCTGTAATCTTTCTTTTTTTTTGTATGTTTTTGTCTCATCTTGTTATGAGATTCAAATTTCATAAAATAAATTGGGTGGAGCATTCTCCCTTTCCTATTCTCTGGAACAATTTGTAAAAGTTTCAGATGTTCTGTTCTTTGAATATTTGCTAGGGTTCACCTTTTAAATCATATGAGCTGAATTTTCTTTGTGGAAATATTTTCAGATACAGATTTTGTTTCCTTAAACATTGCTAAAATATTTAAGTTTTTTCTTTCTTGATTCTGTTTTGTTGTCTTTAAAAAATTTTTATCAAAAATTTCCAAAAGATATACTGGCATAAAGCTGCTTATAATAGTTTCTTATTTTCTTTTCAATTTTGCTATATGCATATTTTGTCCTCTTTTCCATTCTGTTTTTCCTCTTGATTAGTTTTGCTTCACATCTGTTAACAATATCCATGATTTTTAAAAAGTTGTACTGGGGAATCAAACTCAGGGCCTTGTGCATCCTAGGCAAGCATTCTACCCCTGAGCTTCACACTCAGCTTCTGTTTACCTTTTTAAAATTTCAGATTGTAGCTTTGTTCATCATGATACTTGTTATGGTTTATGTCAGCTGCTCCTCCCCTACCCCCCCCCCCATTTCATGCAATCATGGACACAGCTGAATCTAGCATTCATGATTTTCATTGTCTGGTGCTGGGGTTGGTGGTATGAGTGCTATACTTGCCCAAGGGTGGAGCCAGCATACAGTGTAAGGGCAGGAGGAAGGCGTGTCTTTCTCATTTGCCATGCCATTTGAGCTTGTTGTTTGTGGCTGCCTAAACCGCTGTCCCTTGGACACATCATTTTGCTTTGGAGCCATCTGAGTATAGACTGAAACTTCCAACCTGTAAGAAATAAATCTTTGCTTCCCTGACTTTGGTCATCAGGTATTTTGCCTCAACAACAAGAGAGAAAAGTAACTAAGCCAATACTGTTCACATTATTCACCTGTTGGTGGACTTACATTGTTCTAACTCTTGCTCATTACAGACAAAGCTCCTCTGGATGTGTGTATTTAAGTCTTTGTGTGAACATATGTTTTCACTTCTCTTTGGTAAATATAGTACTTAGCATTGCAATGTTGGTGTCATCATAATTGTAAGTGAAATAAATCAGGCACAGAAGTCTAAATATCACATAGTTTCTCTTATGTGAGAGACCCAAAGAATAAATAATTTAAAGAGCAAAATAGAAGATAGATGATAGGAAGCAGGGAGGTAGACGTTTTGCAGATGGGAGGGGAACCTAGGAATAGAGACAGAGGAAGGGAAGCCAGAGAAGGGGAAGCAGAAGGATTAAGAAACGATATGTAGGGACTGGGGATTTAGCTCAGCGGCATAAGCGTCTGCCTTGCAAGCAGGCAGTCGTGAGTTTGATCCCTGGTACCGATAAAAACGAAAAAGACAAAAAAAAAAAAAAAAAGAAAAGAAAAAAGAAACGATATGTATATGTACTGAGTCCCATAATGAATGTGTTCACTACATAGTGTCAACAGGTACTAATAAAGAAAGTGAAAATAAAAGAAACAATGGTATCCCGTGATAGGCACATATATAACACCACACCAAACTGGTTCCCAATTGTTTGTACTGTTTTTGTTTTCCCACAAGCAGTGTATGAAAGTTCCAGGGCTCCACATCCTGTCCAACACAAATTATCATGGCTATTTTTGCTTTGACCAACTCATTATTTTTTTAAAGGAGATTTAAGTGCCAGAAAAATAGTGATCATATTTACCCATGTAGAGACCATCCCAGAGCTTCTGATCTTTGGGTAACTTCATTTCCCATCTCATGTCATTATGTTGCTGCATGAAGGACTTCCTGTAACATTTCCTGTGGTACAAGTCTGCTGGGGAAGAATTCTTTCAGCTTTCATAAGTCTGAAAAAAATCTGCATTTCTTCTTGGTATTTGGAAGATATATTGATCAGATTAAGAATTCTAGGTTGATGGAATTTTTTTTTTTTTTTGGTCTCCTTTTAAGCGTTTTGAAGATGCTGCACTCTTGTTTTTCAAGTTTAATTTTTTCCAAAGAAACATCTGGTGTTATTGTTATCTTTGCTCCTTTCTAGGTAATGTTTTCCCCAACCTGTATGTGTGTGTGTGTGTGTGTGTGTGTGTGTGTGTGTGTGACTGAGGGGATCAAATCAAGGCTCTGCACGTGCTATCTCTGGCTACTTTTAAAATTTTCATCAGTGGCTCCAAGCTATATGCTTTGCCATATGACTGTGGCCTCCCGCTGGAGCAGGAGTGGGCAGCTTATCCATGATCCCTTGCTGAGCCAGCTGAGTGTCTTTTTTTGCAGTTAATTGAGACTTGACTTTGTCTCTGGTGACTTGCTTCTCCAGTACCTAGAACAGTGCCTGCCTTAAGGGAGGGATTCAGTCATGACCGCATGGACCCCTCCTGTTGTACACATTGAGAAACTTAAAAGCAGGTCCCAGTTTAGTTTCTTACTATACATTAGCCTTGATTGAGAGACACAGAATCTACTGCTTAGTAGTGAGGAGGAAGATGCAGAGCAGGGAAGTTTCACGGGATGGAAGAATCCCAGGAGGGTCTCGGTGCACTAGTGTAGAAGGTGGCCCAGGTGTGTTTCTGCGGCAGGGAGAAGCAGTTCAGCGCTTCCATATCCTGCGTTCCTCCAGCCTCACCCCCGACAGGGAGGGCTCAAGTAGCAATGAGGGCAGCCAGAAAAGTGTGCCAATAAGGCATCGCCCACCTGGTGTACAAACTGACTGCCGCTACCTAGCGTAGGACAAGAGGGTCACAGACCAGCAATAGGCGCCGTGGGGACTCAGGCTGGGCAAGGAGAGAAGAAAGGAAGCGAAGAAGCATGTGAAGGGGAGGGGGCTTCGGCTGCTCATTGGCTCAACCTCTGTGTACAACGGTGTAGGATGAGAAAACTCACGGACAGCATTGTTTTAGGGCTGATGACCATGTGGAGTATCTCACGAGTGATAAGTATTTCCTTCCCCTTTGTTGACAGGATCCTGATATGAGGATGACATTTGACTCCCAATCATCCTGTCTCAGCCTCCCAAGCACTGAAATTATGGGTGTGTGCCACCATGCCTCACTATTAATTTCAATTCCAAGCCTCACACTGAATTTCAAATAGTGGGAAAGCCCATCTTTTTCGTGGATGTTTACTTGGAACTTTGGCTTTTTTATTTTGAGTGTTTAAATATATGCATTGGTCTAGAAGCCATGGTAGCCTTTGATTTGCTACTTGTGGAGAAGGGAGTGCCGGCAATGCAGTCAGAAGTTTCAGTGCATGTCAGGCGGGAGGCAGAACCCTTCCAGTTATCTGAGAGGAAGTGCAATGTGAACATTGGAAGCTGTCAGATGTGCTGCTAGCAGCACCAGTGTGAAGGAACTGCCATCCCTGCAGAGGAAGGGACCAAGATACCTCTGGGAGAAACAGAAAGAGAGGATGGCAACCAGGCATGGGGGGCACAGGCCTCTGAGTGCAGCACTCGGAGGGGCTGAGGCAGGAGGATCACAAGTTTGAGCCCAACCCAGGCAGTTTAGTGACTTAACAAAGCCCTGCCTTAAAATAATAAATGGACTGGCCCTGAATCAAGGTCGGCAGCTTCCTGAGGCTGTTGGTTTCGTCAAGCAGGAGCCTAAAGAGATGTCTTTCTATGGTCTGTTGGCCATTTCAGGACTTGGGCAGTAAAATGGTCAATGCATTAGAAAGAAACAGCTTGAAGCAACCTCTCCCCTCCTGGTGAGTGGTTGTGAGTGTGGCAGGCTGCGGTGGCCCAGGCTATGCTGGGACCCAGAGCACCCGTATACCAACCAACCCCTCCTCCCCTGCCTGTTCTGCTTTGCTGAATTTCAATATACATGAAAAGTATGGACAGCTATTTTGAAGAGAACATGCGACTCTACAGCCGCCATTAGTGACTTCCCTATTATCTGGCTTTGAAGACTTAAAACGCCTTACTTATTCTGTTTGGATCAGTTTTATACAATGTTGTTTTGTATGAATTCTCTGTACGTGAAGACATGGACAACTGTTTGGAAGAAAACAAGAGACAGTGAAGATCTCAGATCGTCTAGCTTTGAAATTTGTATCTCTTACATTGCTTTATGTCCTATTTTGTTCTGTTTTGTTGTGTTTAATTTTACCCCCTTTAAAATAAAATTAAAAAAATATAAATGGAAAATGAAGGGCTAGGGATGTAGGTTAGTGCAAAATGTAGCAGAATTCAATCCTGGGTACTATGGAAAGAAAGAAGGAAGGAAGGAAGGAAGGAAAGAAAGAAAGAAAGAAAGAAAGAAAGAAAGAAAGAAAGAAAGAAAGAAAGAAAGAAAGAAAAAAAGAAAGAAAGAAAGAAAAGCGAATGAGAGAAAGATATGGGGCTGAGGTACGGCTGAGGACTGGCAACATGGTGCTGTTCTGCCGTGCAGAGTCTCCAGGGACCCTGAGGGTGCTGGTGCCGCCGAGTGGGAAGACATGGCCCGGCCTGTACCAGCTGATGCTGCAGCAAGGAACCCCCATTGCCAGGAGGAAGCTGTCTTACTAGCACGCTGCTAACAAAACCAGGACAGAGTCACAGGGAAAAGCCTGCTTCCTGGAGACTGCAGCCGATCATACTTCACAGTCTCCCTCTAGAACTGCCTCTGCGGAGATCTCACCGGGGAGCCCTCAAGGCTGTGAACGCACTTCAGAGTGAGGGGGAAGCACCACAGAAAAGATGAGTGTCAGGCTGGGCTTGTACTCAGATGCTTGCGTGACCTCTACAAAAGAGCTTTAGTGACAAGCTGATCTGATGCCCCCAAAAACCCTACCAAAAGAACTTTGGACTAAAAGAAGCTAAGTATAATCATGGAATCTTCTAAAGGAGCCCCCGTGAAAGGCTGGCATTTGGGCATTGTGACACACAAGTAGGAACTAAGTATTTCACCAAGTCTTACCTGTGAGGTTGTCTTTGTAGGCAAATGGCTTTGCATTTACTAAAATCAGTGGGAAGCAAATGGTTCTAGATTTTCTATTGGCACCCAGGGTTGAATTGCTCCAACAAAGACCACAGTCAGTCAGCACCATGCTGGGTCCCCTAGGAAGGAGGGGGCCACCTGAAGGCACAGCCCACAGGGAGACATCAACCGAGTCCACAAAATGAAGACCAAAGTGACACACTCACAGTTCCTTTCCCTAGGCAGAGGAATCTTGTCATGGAAGATATGTGGCCTAGGTAGGGAGTTGACAGGAGGAGAGGGTTCCCACCATTTACAATAAGTGTCCCTGATTGCCTTTCTCTGGATTTATTTACAAAACAGAATCTGAATTTTTTTGTGTTCTAGCTTTAAATTACAAATCCTCATAGGGGGCCCCAGAGTTCTAACAAACCCATTTCCCGCCTTGTCCTTCCTACCTAGTCCTTCACCTCGTCCACATGACTCACCATAATATCCAGTCTGGATTAGCTCCCTGGGGAGGCTCCCTCAGGCCACCCAGGTAACCGCAGGGGCACTACTGCCCTTCACACCCTACTGCCCCACATTACACTGCACTACCCAAGAAGGACTCAAAAGAGCGACCTTTGAGACCCATTTCTCCACCCCTTGTCATCAGTGTTCACACACAACCACCTCTCAGAAACTCACAGAGGGAATGTAATACTCACCTGATTGTAACCAGGCAACCCAGGAAGGTAGTTCCATGTAAATAGCAACTGTTCCTCTTGATGCAAGGAATGTTGCTTCACTTTCCCTGATTAGCATGTGTTATGGTGAGACCAGCCTGATGTTCCCATTCTCCCATACCAAACATCGTCCTCCTCAGTCCAATTTGTGATTCAGGAATAAATAAATACATCAAATGGTTTTAGCAAATGAAGAGAGACAAGCAGAAAATGGTTTGGTTTGAAATACTTTGCTAAGAGACAAAATTTTCAGGATAATTTCAGAAAGATCAAAGGTACTAAGCAATATGAGAAGAGAAAGAAAGGAACCTGAAGTCTTCTGGATTGTGATAGTCTTTTGATAGTGTTGCAACGAAGAGATGGTAGGTACTCCTTTGACTATCTTTGCCTAGCTCCCTTAAATGCTTTGAAAAGCCAGATGTTACAAGACTGGTTAGGAATGAGGGGTCTCCAGCCTCTTTTGCAAGCGTATTACAGGTTTATAAGAAGGCAGTGTTCTCTCCCGTGGGTTGCTAGGGACTCACTCTCTACAGGTGGTCTATCTAAATGTGGAGCTGATCTCTGTAAGCATCTTAATGGGACTAGGGCTCAAATGTCCCCTATTTCAACATAGGTGCTCTATGATCTTTGCTTCTACCTGCTTTAGAGTCGAGCTTTCAGAGCCTAGTACTATTGTTGCTTGTCTCATCAATCAAGAACACAATAGTAGTGATTAGGATGTTTTGGATATTCAAATCTGAACTTTTCCACTTCCGGTGTGGTCCTTTCTATGCCTGAGTCTCCTCTCATGGAGAACTGGGATGATTAGAACAGAGCCAGCAGTTGTACAGATTCTGGGAATTCATTGTGTGGTAAATGCTCAAGGGATGTTGCCTATCACTTTCATCATCTGAGCTCTGCTTATCTGTGACCACTTTGTATGGGATATTTTACTTTATTCTATTCTATTTTCAGTGCTCACACTGGAATCCAGGGCCTTGTGCATGTTAGACAAGTGTTATACCACTGAGCTACTACCATTTGGGATGGATGGAGCTACCTACCTTCTTACTGTTTAATCTCCATCTCCTAATGTTTTCTGTGTCACCAGAGCTGCCTATGCTATTGTTAACTCACTAGAAATGAAGATGGTGCTTTAATCTTTTTTTTTAAATACACAATGAGTTACTTGTATTTTGCTTTGCTTGGCAAACAGTATCCCCTTCATTAATGCCCTTCTTATTGCTGGATAGTGTTCTTGGGTCTCTAACGTTATACTGAAAGCCTGTGGAAGTAGAAGAGAGCTAAAATGTAACCTCTAAGAGGCCCTTGCTTGTGCTAGATACTCAGTGAGTATTGCTTAAGAGACATACAGGGGAACTTGGTCCATACACTCCCCTGAGATAGGGCATGGGTCTCCAAGGGGAGAGAAGATCCATAAAGATGAGTGTGGATCTATCAACTGCAGGACCTCCCCTGGACCTAGAGCGATGCCTCAGCAAATGCAGCCTGGTGATGAAAGTCAGCATTGTGCCCTCTCCTTATGGAGCAAAGAGCCCGGTGGGAAGTAGGAAGGCTCTCATAGGTAGGAGACAGGTAGGAGCTGAGAAGCAAGTGAGCCAGGCAAGGGGCCAGGAAAGCTTTACCAGCTCTTTGGGGTCACAACAGAGGTCATTACTGAATAGTCTAAAACCTCTGTTTTTGACTGTCTGTCTGTTTCAGGACATCTGTACTTTTTCTGAGATTATTTCCTTATTGCTCATCTGTAGCTCAACTGGGCTAATGCTAAGGAGGACCAAGTAAGAGCTCTGGGGCTGAACTCTGAAGGGAGTGTGGTGAGAAGGGCTGCAGAAGAAGGCTGGAGACTCATCCCAGCGCTGGTCTCTGCCAAATGCTTGAGTTGTGTTTGCACAACAAAGGCTGTTTCCTTAGGATCCTCCATGACCAGGAAACAGCCATGGGAGGACTTCTTCCAGCCATGAGAGAGGACTTGGCAGAATAACCTTCCTTCCAGCATAACCAGGAGGTTACAAATGGCACGAAATATTTGAAACCCATCGTTCTGCAAGTTGGACAACATGGATCGCGAATCCTTGAGACAAGGGGAACGGCAACGGGGGTTTGACCTCCATCTTGGTTTTCCATCTGACTATAGCCCAGAGAGGGGCTCGAAGTCCAGCAAGTTTGCTGAGGTGAGAGGCAAAGACTAGCAATAAGAGAGATTAGAATTTCTCAGCACCTGAGGGAAGGGAACAACAAAGAGAAATTCAGAAAGGTACACACAAGTTTCCTTGGGCCTTCGGCTCACTCCTTGTATACACACCCAGTCTACTAAAATGGTTGTGACATGTAGGCTGCAAAGTGAGGCATCAGGCCTGCAGATAAGGACAGTCAGCACACTTTGTGGACAGTAGAGAGGGGAGAAGAAAGAGGTTGCTGCCCTTCTCCCAGGAGACCATTTATAGAACCAGAATCACCATCACCATGAAGTGTGTGTGTGTGTGTGTGTGTGTGTTGGGGGGTGCCATCAGGCATTATGAGGAGGGGAAAAAAAGGATTCTTCAGTTGTAGAGTTCCAGAAAATCCACCTGTTTCTGCAGTGTTAGGTATTTCCAGAGGTGCCACCTACAAAGCTGTGACCTCAGCTATGCAATGCCCGTGTCTGCCCACAAACTGCTTGCAATTCCTGCTTCTCATTCACTGACGGACTTAGTGACGTCACAGACTCAGACCTCACTCCGGACCTCTGTCTCCTGTGGGAGTGACCCCCCAGAGGGAAGCATACCCCTAAGTGAGAACTCTGGAGTTGGCAGGAAACGGGCAGGAGTGCCTTTCTTCCTTGAATTCAAAAGCATTTCTCTCATGACAGGAACCCTGAGTATTTTTTTCCCCTTGGGACTCATCTCCTTCAGTTACCAAATCAGGTTTGTGCTATTGCATTCTATCGAGTTAAGTGGGTCTCCCGGAAGTTCATGTGTGGGAAGCTTAAGTCCTCAGTGTGCAGGGAGGTATTTGGGTCACACGGGCAGAGTCTTCATTAGTGGATTAATAATGCATTTCTCCTGCGTGTTCTGCATCTCACAAGACTCTTTCAGAGACTGTGAGACAGTTGGTCATGAAGCAAGCCTGCCCCTTGTGTTTTGTCCTTTTTGCACATGCCTGCTTGCTTTTCTAGTTTCTGCATGAATTGAAGCAGCGATGGTCTCTCAGCAGGTGTGGCTGCCATCTTGGACTTCCCAGCTTCCACAACTGGGAGCCAAAAAAACCTCTTTTCTTCATAAATTTCCCAGTCTCAGATTGTTTTGCTATACCAACAGAAGGCAAAATAAGGCCAGTCATTCCAGCACTCTTGGAAGCTAAGGTAAGGTGGGGGGACGGATTTGAAGTTCAACTGCAGGAAAGTAAGTAACTTAGGAGACCTTGTCTTAAAATTTAAAATAATAGATTTAATAGTGGGGAAGTCTGGAGATATATCCCAATGTGAAAGCTCTGGATTCAAATCCCAGTGCTACCAAGGCAAACAAACAGACAACACACAGAGACATGTTCTAACATGATGTTGGTCTAAAGTGTGTTGATTGTTCTGTGGAAGAATTAAGATGACTTTTCATAAATGGCTAACCCACTGAAACATGACCACCAGCCCTCTCCACACACCTTGAGTTCTCAGATAGAACACAATGGGACCCTTGTTATTAACACATTTTCCACTTTATTGAAATTCTTTTTTACAAAGGTCTGGTGTACTTAGGCCAGGCCTGATTCCTCTAGTCCCTGAAATACAGGACCATGGTCATCTCCATGTCCTCTTAGATCGGTATGTAAACTAGTCGACTTTTATTTTAAAGATTTAAACATTTTAACATTTCAATATTGTTTGTATTTGACATAAACAAGACTTGGGCTTTCCTAAATGAAAAGACCAAGTAAGGAAATCATATGTCTTCTCATTGGTAGCATAACTAGGTTCTTTACCACAACCAAGTTGATGATTTTTAAAGTGACATTTTTCCACCTTTGGTATTTTCCTAACACAAATTTTGCAAGTGCTGAGCTATGTAGTGAAGAGTGCTATGTTTATATATACATACATATATTGGCTCTGAAAGAAATGCATGAGTACATGCGCATTACGTAAACATAGCAATGGGTCAGAAGGAGTTGGGTCATTAGAACATTAGTCACAAGCGTACTGTAAGCAAAGAATGACTGAGAGCATGTATTGGCTTGGTTGTCAGCCAAAATCTTTGCAGGACCTATGGCTGCAGGGGCACAGGCCCCACTTTGTCCGGGCAGAATGATGCTCTCCTGATGTGACCGGTGACCCTGTATCTGAGGCCCGACTGCGAGTTTGATTCTCCCAAAGTGAGGTGTCTGCACCCACTCACTACCATGTGGCTCCCCCAGGTCTGGAATTCACACACAGCCCAGTTCAACCCCTCTTCATGTAAACAGCAGAGTATGATCTCCCTGACATTCAGAGGGGCCGAAGTCACAAAGTTGCAGAGGCCCATGGCCCTTTATTCTCCTTGGAGGTTACAGGGAATCCTGACTTCCATCACTCCTGTAAAAAACTTTGGGAAGATGCTCCATCAGCTCCCAACAGCTCTGAGACACAGTCACTTTGCGTTAACCCTGAGTGCCCAGTGACTAAGCAATGGACTCAGGTTGACACAGGTGACCTCCGTGTTACCCTCCAAATCCACTCTGCCCCTGCTTGGGTGGTTGACCTGGGGGCCCATGGTGTCTGCCCTTGCAGACACATGGCACAGGGTTTGCTATATTCAGTTTTCTAATCATGCAAGCTAAAGTCCAGCCAAGACATGCTATGGTGTGGGTGGCACCTTGGTTCAGTCATTCTTGATCTTCTGACTTGGGAGCCAGGTGAATGGGCCAGTTGAGTACTACCTGGAGGTAGGTTCTTACCCAGACTGACGTACCTTGTACCAACGTGACAAAGTGGATAAATGAATTTAGCACCCAAGATACTATCAGCACACCACTGTAGTCACTCAGTAAATTCCAGGTTCCCTCTCGCTCCTACAGCTATTTTTCCCGCTCTGTGTCACCTCCACAAGTGTGTAGAGGCAGAAAAAGAGAGGACACCAAGTTCCTTAAGATTACCGCTTGCTGGGGAGGTGGATGTTGAAACTGTCTTGGCCTAACTGAGGTTTGGAAATTATCTGCTGAGAAAATGATTCATAATTCCCTCCCATCTCTGCAGCTGCCTTTGTCTCTCAGATCTTCTGGACATTCATCTGTTACCAAGAGACTGAAGAGAACATGGATACTGAGACCCTAGGAATGGTGGCCAGATGGTTGAGCCAACTGGTGGTCCCGCTGGCCAGGGCTCCTCACTTGGAAACCCAGCAGAAGGAGAGACAGGCAGTAGATCCCATAGAGCACTTTGGAGCAGATGTCTAAAAGGAGAGTGACAACAGGCCACCACAGTCCTAGCATAGGGCCATGGGGACTGGGGGGGCTGGACTGGGCAGAGCAGAGGCATGGCCAGGGTAGCCCCAAGTGATGCCCCACCCCAGAAATGCAGGAAGGAGGCTTGGCGACAGGGTCCTCGGGTTATGCCTGCTTTTAGAATCTGCTGCATGTGACCCCGGCATCCTCAGCATGCCCACAGTTTGTCACCCCCCATTTGGAGAAGCTGCAACGGAAGATGGTGTCCTCTGTGCCCTTGCAGGCGACGTCATCCATCCAAATCCTCCCTGTGCCTGTGAAGACAAGGCAATGTGACTTCTTAGCAAAGATGCAGGAAGGAGGAGAAAAGGAGGCAGGAGTGTGTCTGTCCCTGACTAGGCTGGCCCTGGCCATGCAAGCATTTGTCAGAGCTGGTGGCTTCTGCCTGCTGTCTCTGCCCCACCAAGAATTTATGCTTGTTTTTAGGCTGGATTTTTTGCAGGCAGCATAACAATAAAAAATGGTGAGGATACTTATTGCTCCTGTGTCTCAAGCATCTTGCACATGGGAGCTTTCTTAGTCCTCACTATGGTGCTCTGAGGTAGGTCTTAATAAACCCATTTTGTAGGTGGGGAAACCAAGGCCTGGAGAGCAATTGGTTCAAGGTCATTTAGTTTATAAGTGGTAGAGTCTGACCTCAAACTCAAGTCTTGCTGCTCTCAAGCTCACACTTTGTAAGAGACATTGCACAGCTGTAGTGACATGGTGTCTCAACGCCTTTGCTGATGAATAGTGAGGCAGAGTCTAATAGAGGCACAAGGTCAGACAGGCCCTGGATTTCCCAGTGTCCCAGAATCAAGTTCATCAGTGTCAACATCACCTCTGGTTTTGTGAGGTTTTAAGAAGATGATTCTGTTCTATGGGCCTACATAGTGGTTCTGGAATGACTAGGGACCCCAGAATTTTACAGACAAGATAAATATTAAAGAATATGCAAGAGCATCCCTAAATCAATAAGTAATTAGGTCAGTCTCCAGATACCAGATCTCTAATACAATCTGTTAGTAACTTTACTTGCAGCCAGTCCTGCGTACCTAGCTCTTAACTGGACTGACCTGCTGGTCTGAAGGTGCCCATGCATGGAGGGCCAGGGGCTTTCACTGGTTCTCCCAGGATCCTACCTGAGCCTGAGCCACAAACAGCATAAACTTGCCACTGAGGTCCTGCAGTGAACAGCAGAGGCTCGGGGAACATGGGTCTCCATGAGTGACTGGGAAGGTCTTGTCTGGGGTTGGGCATGATGGGGCAGAAAGGAGTGGAGTCTCATGGTTAATGGGCAGGCACTGGTGGACTTTCTGGCCTGTGGTCCCAGATGCTGGAGCCCATTCAGAATCCTTCTGGAAAGATGACTGGGCTTCAGGGATCCCATGGGAACCATAGCTCTGCTGCTCAAAGTGAGACCCTGGACCCACAGAAGTTGCATCATCAGGAGCTCAAATCTCCCAGTCCTGCTCAGTCTAGACAGTGATAAGATCTGCATTTTAACAAAGGGGCTAAGCCTGGTGGCTTGAGAAGCAGTGGCAGAGGTGCAGGAGAGACTCTGTTTTGTGCTGTGCTCCAATTCAAGTCTCAGCACCATCTAGGGTGACCTTTTATGTTTTTAGATTCTGAAGGGTCTTCCCAGGATAAGGAATTCTCAGTGTTAAAATCTACTAGGGCCTGGGTGCATTGGGACAACTGTCACTCCAGCAACTCATTTGTTAGATCTGTGACCTGGGACCAAAAAGCACAAGGGTAAGGGTCATAAACTAAGTTCCAACATTACTGGCCATGTCACCCTGAGCAACTCATTGAGATAACAGTGCCTGTATTGGAAAGCACTTTAGAATTTTACCAAAGCCTATAAATAAGGAGCTTGGAAACCAGTACTAGACCTGGACCTCACACCATATCCTCCTCATCTTGTTTCCCAGCAGCTTGACAATTTCTACCTCTTTCTTAGGGAACTGACTATCAAAACCTTAAACTCTGACACTCACTCTTGGGCTGCCAGGTGAAATTCCTTTGCAAAGAATGTAAAGGGATCATGTAAACCCCGGTGGTGCTGACTGAATCTACTGCATGGACTAAGCAATTTAGACGTGTTTTTGTTCTGTAGATATCTTCCACATCTGCTGTCACAGGATTTCTGTGAAATGATCTGGGGATAGAACAGGGAGGACCCTGTCTTTGCAGAACCTCCTCCTAGCCTGGAGAGCTAGAGCTCTTACACAACAAGCCCCCGCAGTCCAGCAGTAATGCGCAGATTAAACATCTCCAGGAAAACATATCAGTCTACAAATTACCCAGCAAAAGGCCGAGAGCCCCAAAGCTCTGTGGGATTAGTCACACCCAAAGAAAATAAAGAAGCAAATAAAGGAGACTAACAAATAAAGAACAGGCCCAGGGTTACCGGGACCAAATGTGCATTTAGAATCTCAAAGCTCCAAGCTCTAGCTGGGGCTTAGCCAGGGAATTCTGGCTCATGTCCACATGTGGAAAGCACAGTAAAATGGAAACAGGGTCATTGAATGAGCAGCCCTGAGTATCTCAATTCTGACAACCGTGTGGGGTCTCCCTGAAGGGGGAAGCAAGGAGCAAACCATCTCCACTCCTCACCCTGTTGCAGGAGCCAGCATTCTGCGGACTCTGGGTGCCAATCATTGTCTCAGGTTAGAATGACAAGGATTCTTCAAGGAATAGTCCCTGGACCCAAGGGTCACCATCACATGCCTGGGAATTGTTAGGAATGTGCCAGGGGTCCATACAGGTGGAACTGCTTAGGCCAAGTCCTTGCCTCCACCTTGTTATCTCTAAGCTTGAGCTGCCCAGTAAAGTCCTGCTGGGGCAGCCCAGGGTGAGGGGACTGCTCTAGAGAAAATGTAGCAACCAGCACCCTTATACCCTGAAGAAGTGAGACTGGGGCTAGAGTTTAGGTGCTCTGACCCTCACAGCACTAGCTGTAAAGATGACAAATATCTGAGTCCCTACTCTGTGCTCAGCACTAGTCTGGATGATTGGAATACACTAATGAACAAAAAAAGACAGCTACAAAAGACAGCTACGTGTGAGCTCTGATGTGTTTATCTACAGCAGTATGACTAGCAGGAATAAATACACAGAATCCTACAGGCATGCACCTGAGCTCACACACAGGGGTGGCAGAGAGAGAGAGGAAAATGGAGGCACCAGCAGATGAAGTGACACATGCGTGATATTGTTAACCACTATGGGGCAGGGCTCACTCAGTCTAGGCCTTGCTCCTTATCAGAGAACCCCAGTCCACAGTTTGAAACATGTAACCTTAAGTCAGGGGTGGCAAACTATGGGCCAAATACGTTCCCCCACCTGTTTTTGTAAATAAAGTTTTATTGGAATGTGGCCCCATCTGTTTGATTACACATTGTCTAAGGCTATTCTCTTCCTGTGACTGCAGAACTGAGTAGTCATGACTGTCCCTCATTCTGCTCTGGCAATTTTGCCTTGTTCTGTTCCTGCCACCAAAAACTAAGCAGCTTTGCTCCACCATGCTCTTCCACCACGATGTCCCCACCTTACAGTCAACTGACCATGAACTGAATCCCCTAAAATTGTAAGTCAAATTAAGCCTCTCCTTTACGTTGTAGCTATTGCATGGATATCGTGTCCCAGCCATGAGAAAGGTGACTAATACAGAAAATTGGTACCAGAGAAGTAGGGTCATTGCTGGGACTATATCTGACCATGAGGTTTAGGTGTCTTTGGAGCAGGTTTACTGGAAGACTTGGAAAGGTTTGAGATGTGGGCTACAACAGCCCACATGTGTGCCTATTTTCATATTAGTGTGGATGGTGTCTGCAATAGGAGTCAAATGAAAATCTAACGCTCAAGGTGATGTTGTTGGGAGATGAGGCCTTGGGAGGTGATTTGGTCAGAAGGATGGACACTGTGATGAGACCACTGCCCCTCTTCTACTGGGGACCAAGCAAGAGACATCTTTGAGACAAGAAAGGGGCTCTCACCACACACTGAATCTGCTGCTGCTTTGCTCTTGGATTTCACAGGCTCCAGAACAGGGAGAAATAAATTTCTTCTACTTATGAGTTACCCAGACTGTTATTTTGTTATAGCAGCCTAAATAGATTAATAAGAGACTGTAGTAAGCCTATTGCTGTCACGGACTGAACTGTGTCCCTCCAAAAGACATACACGGAGGTCCTAACTCTGAAAGGACTTACAGTGTAAGTCTTTGAAAAGGTACTTTAGATGAATGAAGTCAATAGGATGAGCCCAAAGGCATTACGGCTGATGTCCTCATAAGAAGTGGAGGTCAGGACATGGACACACACAGAAGCAGACCATACAGGGACACAGGCAGAAATGGCATCCACAGACCAAGAAGAGAGGCCTCAGGAGAAGCCAACCCTGCCAGGACCTTGACCTTGGACTTCCCTCCAGAGCTGTGAGGAAATAAATTCCTGCTGATTAAGCTGCCTGTTCTATGGTATTACGGCAGCAACCATAGCAAAAGGACATGCAGGCAGCCAGAGAGACAGACACGGTGGGGGAGCAGAGACTGGAGCTCAGGTGGCACAGTCTTCCTCGCCACAGGAAATGTTTGGATGGTTAATGTCACTGTCTGGCTGGGAGGATCTGTGTCCTCCCTCCACGTCTCCAGTACTGTCTGTGGGGAGGTAGCATGTACTCTTGAGCAATCCGAAAAGCAGGCAGCACAGGGAGGGCCTCGTTCTGTGAGGACGAGGTGGGCGATCTGGGCATGCTCACCTGCAGTTCAAAGGCTCAGAGAGGCAGGGACAGCCCAGCAGCATGGGTAAGGGTCTGGATTCCCGAGATGCCTGTCTGGGCTGCATCCAGGCTCTGCCCTTTGCTAGCTGTGTGGTCCTGGGCACGTTACTCAATTTCTCTGTTTTTTCATTTGGGAAACAGGATATCTGTGTTTACTCAACGGTGCTGTAGGCATTAAATGAGATTTTGTAATGTGTTCAGACTGTAGCCTGGAACACTGTGAGCATGGGAAGTAATAAAAGTGTAGGGAGATAAGAGAGCAGGTCGCAAAGCCTGAAAGATGGAGGCAGTGGGAGAGGGACTAGCGATGTGAACCAGGATGGAGAAGGAGGGCTGGTAGGGAAACTGACAGGAAACGAGATTTAGACTCAAGGAGAGGAACTGCTTCCCCGGGGGACAGTGATCTCCCACCGACCGAAGCACCCAGGCAGAGCCTGGCACTCTTGGCCGAGTCCAAGGGATAGAGGCTTTGAAGAGGAGGTCAGTCCAGGATCCGCCGCGCCCTCCCCAGGTCTGCCACCTCTGCAGGCCTCACCTTGCCCGAAGCGAGCTGTCCGGTACACATCCTCTGCGCTGCGGAAGCCCAGCATGCGGCACACCACGTCCCCATCCTTCTTGTCCCAGCCGTCGTCACACACGGTACCCCAGCGCCTGTCATGGTACACCTCCACGCGGCCCTCGTGTGGGCCTGAGCCGTTCACCAAGCGGACCATAGGGACTTCCAAGACACCTGAAGGGACAGCCACTGTCAGTTACCACCAGGCTCCAGACACAGCAGGGCCCTCACTCTGAGGCTCCTCTCTGAGGCAGGAGTGTGGGGCCACAGCCAGGGGACCAGGATGTGCCACGCTTGCCCTGTGTTAGCTTTCTTTCCCTCCCATTCCTCTGTTTCTTCTTCTTTGGTTTTAGATTTGCAGCAACAGTGACTAGAAGGTACAGAGATTCCCCACAGTCCCCCATTGTCAATATCCCCCACCAGAGTGAGCATATGTTACAGCTGAGGAATCCTCTGATGCATCATTGTCACCCATACTTCTCCCTTGGGTTGGATGTATTCTGTAGGTTTGGACAAGCGTCTAATGACAGCATCCACCATAGCAGTGTCATGTAGAATAAGTCCACTGCCCTAAAAACCCTCCGTGCTCCACCTGTATATCCCTGGCACCTCCAACCCCCTGCAGCCATTTCGTCCATGGTCTTCAAAGCTGTACCTTTTCCAGAATGTCATGTACTTGGAACCACACAGTAGGCAGCCTTTTTAGATCGGCTTCCTTCAGTTGATACTATGGTCTAGATTTAAAATGTCCTCCCAGAGTTTCATGTACATAGAAGGTGATTGAATCATTGAATGCTATACTCATCAGTGAGTTTATCCACTAATGGGCTCATTGATGAATGTGCTATAAGGAGCTGGGACCTGGCTGGAGGTGACCACGGTGGAGCATGGTCTGGAAGGGTCTATTTTTGTCCTATCTCCTCCCTTCCTTCTCTCTCCCTCTGCTTCCTGGTTGCCATGGGTTGAACAGTTGTCCTCTGCCATACCCTACCATCATGTTGCTTCTGCCTTGGAGCCAGCTGAATGTGGATTAAACCATGAGCCAAAATAAACCTTTCATCCTTTAAGGGTATTTTGCCTCAGAAATGGGAAAGTAACTAATACAGTAGGCAATGCATTTACATTTTCTGTGTCTTTTCATGGCAGGATTCAGGGATCTGTATCTTTTTCAAATGTCCCAAATGAGTCAGTGGTAATTTGTCTATAGATTAGCATTCAGGGGTGACAGGATTAGAGAGCAGTAAGGTTTTCTTCTAGCTCTAATTGTTTAAAGACTCCAAAGCCAGGGTCAAAGTCATCCTTTTGTTTTGTACCTGGGAGATGTGGGGTGGTGCTGGGGGTACTGTACTGTAACACAGTGACAAGTAGGTGACAGGATGCAAGAAAAGCTCCATGTGAACAGCCAGAGAAAACAGCAAATTTATTCTACCAAACCTGATCAAATACTGCTCCTCAGCCTCCTCTTCCTTTCTTCTTTCCTCTGTCCTCTCTCCCCTCTCCTCCCTTCTTCCCTTTCTTCCCCTACCTTTCTTCTTCTCCTACTACACACTGTCTGGACAAGGAAACCTGGAACATTTTGTACAGGGTAACAAGGAAACCACCAGGAAATCACGCCACTCCTAAGACACGAAATGATTACACATTGATCACCCTGAATGGTTCCACTCAATATTTAATGTATTTGCTTATATCCTTAATCCATTCACCTGAAACAGAGTTACTGAAAATACAGTTCCTGCTGGCTGCCAAAAGGTAGGCCAAGGACCTCTTGGGGAGCAAACCACGGAGGGAAGCGGGGATCCAGAGGTCAGGTCTGACTCAGTGAAACTGCCTAAGCGGTAATGAGGAGCTAACCTGGAGCCAGCAGCAGCAAAGGAGGCTGGGCTCAGGGTTGGAGGACACAGACTTGTCTCACTTCTGCTGGCACCATGCCATGGCAGGGGCTGAGAACAGAAGAATCAGTGTGGGAAATGTAGGGTGAGAGATGCCATGAGTCCTAGAATATTTGAGAAGCCAAACATGACATAGGCAGGCAGTCAGACCTGACACTCAAGAGTCCCTGACTTAGCCTTTCTGTTCTGGCCAGCTCCACTCAGTCCATTCGCTTCCTCACTTGCTGGCAAGCAGTTGAGAGTCTGCTAGCAGTGTCAACCTACCTGGGCCACAGCACTGGAGCTTATTCCTTATCACTTGTCCCCAGGCCCTCAGACTAAGAGCTAATTCCCACAATAAGCTATCAGCCACTTATGGGGTTACCAGATGCTGCATGACCCCAAAGAGGTCAAGATGATTCTGAAAGCTGTGTCACCTCCCCTGGACTCACTCAAACCAGACAGTACATTTATTCTTGATTTGTCTTATACAAAATTCTCCTAATGTGTGTTTTGCATTCTCTTTACCCCTAATGAAATCTGAGCTCTGTAAACAACTCCGTGGGAAACAGTAGACTAAAGTTTAATCTGTCTCACTCTGGGACTTGGACACTCCTGGGGCTGTTCCTTGAATGATGACTCAAGCCTCCTTGGTCCCTGCTGAGGGAGACAGTGGGCAACACGTTTCTTAGACCTGAGCAGCGCTGCCACCTCAGGCAGTGCACTTGGGCAATCACCAAACACAAGACCCCTCTGTAGCCTGAGAAGGATGTCATGACTTTCTAAGAGGCTTGGGTTTCATTGGACAGAGGGTTTCAATTCAGCCTTTTCCTAGCAGTTTCTGCCCCAGGGCAAAGATTTCCCCTAAGCAACCAACCACAACAGGAAATACTCTCACCCTGCTTAATGAGTCCTCCTTGACTTAATCAGACATGGTGCCCAGCAGGCAATCCCGGCCTGCTCTGTGATCCTCCCAGAACACTTACTGTTAGTCTTTCTTCCTGAGATACCCCACCCTGGTCCCTTCAGAGTGGATGAAGTTACTTAAGGTCTAGAAGGTGCCCCTTTTGCCCATTACAGGAGTTCAGTACTGTATGAAAATCATGCACTTCTAGGACTAGTGCAAGAAGGAATGGCCCAGCTAGAGGACAGAGGTCAAGAGTGTCTGTGATGAACAAAGGGACCCAGGTTTTGGAGACTACAGCCACTACCCTTACTTAGTAATGGCTCTCTTCAACCAAAGAGCCCATTTAAAACCTCCTTTGCATCTCTTCTCCATGAGCCCTGGAAAATCCTTCACAAACAAAATGAGGATTGACATCCCCAAAGAAAGTCCTGCCCTCAGCATTGCCTTGTGGCTCCCTGATTGGACTCATGGGATGAGACCCTGGGTTAGGAGACTGTCACTTACTTTCCATCATTCAGGGTCCCTAAGTGGGACTGGGGCCTGCCTTTCCATGTGCTCACAGCTTTCACTGGAGAAGACAGTCCTGACCACAAGCCTGGCCCTGCTCACCCCTGGGCAGAATGACACCTTCTGCCTTCTATCTCTTGGCGGGGAAATCCCAGCTGAAGGGAGAAGCCAGTAACTGTTCCTCACTTAAACATGGAGGGCAAGTGGGGTTGTTCTAACCTGACAGTTTATCCCAATCCCCCGGCCACAGGTCCTGGACAGAGCTTTTCCTTGTGATCTCTCCCCTACCCCATCCTTAGAAGAAACACACACATGCCCACACGGCTAGACCTGTGTCCCTTTTTTCTTGCTACCCTGAATCTGGGGACTCTTGACCCCACCAAGTCTCCTTTTATGCAGAGAAGCAGACAGAAAAGTGCCCTTCAATCAAAGCTCAGCCGAGAACTGTCACTGCTTGATCTCTCTGTGTTATGTAGGGAAACTGTTGAGGGCACCCAGGATAGGGGATGGATTTCTTCCAACTGAGCAGCCTTCCTACTCTTGTAGATCAATAGGCTCATTGTTTCCCCTCACAGTTTTTCAGGGGCATCAGTGGTTCTAACCCTTGGTTGGGGCTTTTTACCACACTGCAACCCCAGCCGGTAGAACCCACTTCCGGTTCCCTGACCCACTGAATTGATCCTGTCTCCTTACCCAGGCTACTCCTGGGACAAGGCCTGTGATCTTCACCCACTCTCCTGCAGCAGGGCCTGGATTCCCCATCCCTGACTTGGTTCCCCAGTGAAAAAGAAGAGAGGAGACCCACATAGAATCAGGTCTCCTGGTGGAGAATATACACGAGTCTGGACCAGGAAGTTCCACATTTTCTGAGGATATCCATAGTAGGAACTTGCATTCATTTAGCTGTGGGCTACAGATGTCCCCATTGCTTAGTGTATGGAGCTATTTTAGTTAATTGTGACACAATCTTTGGGATTTTTCAATCATCACAAATGATGGAGAAATACAGAATTTGCCAGCTGGCAGAGACTGAGAGACATTGTCCAAAGCCTTCATGTGACACACGAAGGAACAGAGGCCCAGAAAGGCGATGTGGCTTTCCAAAGTCCTCCAGCAGTAAGGAGAGAACCTAGGATCTGAACTTGACACTTAACCCCGGGGCCAGCTCTTCACCTATCCCTTCCTTTGCCCCCTAGAGTCCCTGAGCTCTCTGAGCAGGGCCTGATAAACTGTTTCACAACTTTGATGAAGATGTTTTTCTGATGGAGCAGCTACACTATCAACAAGTATGTTTAACCCTAAAACTGTCACACATCCACCTGCAAGTCATGGAAACACACTGGATGGCCCCCCAGTTGCTGCAGTGATGTCTTGGAGGAGCAAGGCTACTGCTGAGTTGTATTTGAATGTGTCAATGACTGCAAGCAGGCCAAGGTTAAATTTAGCCTTGGCTTTTAAAGCAAGTCCACTGTAAATCTACTTCTTGTGCATAAACAATGTGTTATCTGTGTGGATTCTTTATAACTATCTTTACCAATGTATTTCTTTTATTTTTTCAATGACTCATTTGTTTATCTATCCAGGAGTACACCCCAAACCCCTATGACATTTCAGCGTTGCAATGGGCACCAGGGATGCAAGGACAAATAAGGATTGTCTTTGCCCTCAGATCACTTGAACTAACAGCCAACACAGAGAAGGTGCCAGGATGTCAGAGCCGGCATAGAACTCAGGGACCCCTAGCCAAATCCCATATGGAGAGGAAACTGAGGTTGAGGTTGGGGAAAAGCCAAGATCCCTCCATTCTGAGACCACTGGTCCTTCCCATGCAAGCCACTCTGCACTAAGCCGCTCTATCTACTCAGGAGGCCAAGGGTCCAGATGGCTGC